AATTAGAGTAAGTTTTGGTCAGATTTTATGACTCATTTGTTAAAGATACTGTAGTATTGTATAGTATTTCATGTTCAGCAATGTAGTCTTAGAATACATGCAGATTTGTTTTATTTAACCAATGTCTCATTAAGCTTATTGGAGTCCTGGCCATAAGGCAGCTACAATTAAAAAGCAAAGTTTCATAGAGGAAAATCTATATTAAAAAAAAAAGTGCGTGTTATTGAATTAGTCTCAAAATCTTTGTTTGGATGTAAAAAAAAACACAAGTTTTCTGAAGCAAGTTCCAGGAGGAGAGAGCTGACCAAGAAGCCCTCAGTCTGAGCAAAAGAGACATAAAGAAACAGCAAATTGTGTGAGCAAAAGATATGAGTCAGCGTTTTTCAGAGCAACTGTAAAACGTACAAAGGTTGAAAGCAATCCAAAGTAACCACTGGGACCTTTTTAAACAGCTAAACAATGCCAATATTGCAAATGCAAATCACAATGTTGGTTTAACATTTGAAGTTAAACGTTGAAGTGAACCTCAGAAGGGAGATGAAGTGAAGCATCCTGAGACACTGTGAAGAAGCATCATGTACAAATGATCTCCATAACTTAACAGACAAAAGTTCCATGGAACAGCTGCTATAGTAGGCAGCATGTAAAAAAAAAAAAAACTTGTTTCAAACAGAAAAAGAGCCTTAATTTGAGCCTTTTTAAAAGATTTGCTGCAAAGGGTTTAAAAGTAACAGGGTTATAAATGATCAACATGTCCAAATAAATGTGTAAACACACTCAATTTTATTAACTACACATGAAAACACTGAGGAGATCTTTTGAGGCTCCTTGGATCTAGAAAGATACTTCAGCAATGTTTTATCATTATTAAAACAAATGTAATAAAGAGCATTCAATAGTCATCAAAGGCTTTCTGAAACAATTCAGTGGCTTCAGTAGAATGGCTCTCGTGCAATAACTGTCATCTGCATAGAAATGCAAGTTTATATCAAACGAATTTCTACCGACCTAATATCAATCCCTGTGGCGCCCCCTTTTGGAGAGCTGCAGAGTAAAACTACCATCATGTTTAATACATTGCGTAATTTTGAAGATATTTCCTGACCAAGCAGCAGCTTCAATATCAGTTTAATGGTGCAAAGCATTATTGTAGATTTACTTTAATACAGCTAATCTAGTAAATTCAATTTAGTTTATTTATATAGCGCCAATTCACAACACATGTCATCTCAAGGCACCTTACAGTTCAGAAGATCATCCAGTCAAATTGATTCAAAGTTTACCATCTAAGGAAAACTACTCATTGACTGGAATGCAATCCCTCACACTAAGCATGCTTGTAGCGACAGTGGAGAGGAAAAACTCCCTTTTAACAGGAAGAAACCTCCAGCAGAACCAGGATCAGAGTGAGCGGCCATCTGCTGAGGCTGACTAGTGTTCAAGGAGACAGAAGCAGAGACACAAAAAGCAGCTGTAAAAGGCGGCCCCGTCCAGGAAACGCACAGCCAGGCAGACGAGCTTCGAGCCAGCTACCATTTCAGAGGATAAGAGAGCACATCCAGCCAGTCACAATCAGACAAACAGGACTACACTGGAAAACAGGCCAAATATCAAACATCGACTGTATCAACAAAGGTGTTGATGGCAGCAGCACAGCTGATATTTCTCTCCAGGATGATATCACAGCCAAAACAGGAATAGATGAGGCAAAGCTACTGTGAGAAAAAGCAGAGAAAGCAGAAAGTTATAGATTGAACTAAACATTGAATGAAATGTGCTTGAATGCACCACGAGGTAACAAATCAGGTCATGAAAAGCAATGATCAATGGTGTGACAGCAGTTCAAAATCGATCCTGGAAATATCTGAACAGTGAACCTCATCTGGACCTCAGCTGTTGAATAAAATCTAAAAATAGAATCACACTTTGGAAACTTTACTGCTAATGTTGTTGGATATGTCAAGACCAAAGTGTGCATCAGCCGCGCCTGTGACCAGATGAGATTTTGAATGTGATGCATCTGAATAAGCAGCACACGCTTGATTTTATTTTCATGAACAATGATCCCTCAGCTCATTTATATCATTGGTGATGAAGGAAAGATGAGCTTCACGTACACAACTTAGGAATGTCATTCTCCGTCCTTAATTTTTACTATGATCCTATTGGCGATGTTCTCATGATCCTCAAATGACATGAATATACTGCTAAATGATGAACTATAGTAACTAAATATGAGGAATGCCTATTTAAAAAGGCAGAAATTGTTCAGCTGAAAGGTTCAAAGCCTCAAGTTACGGTAATTGTAGACCAAGAGTTTAGCCCTAAATCATTCATGTGAAGAGGAAATTAAACGGACAGGATAATTTAATAAAGCAGTATATCTCTTGATGACATTTTATCATGGTACAATTCAAAATTTTCAAAATTTTAACAAGTGTACAAAATAACCTTTTTTCTTTGTTGCTTTTCATCTACCATATGTTACTATAGCCAGGACACAATAATTGCAGCTGAAACCCTTCTTTTATAAACTGGTTATACAAAAAGTTTAAAATGAATGACAAATTAAACAGCTGTTTAGACATCATCTATCAATGCACAGGAAAGATCAATGTAAAGCTTTTGATATTTGATCATTGTTAAACCGCTACTCTCATTCATTGCGTGGCGGAGCATTTTATATTATAAGTTATCAGTGTGAGGGGGGCCCGAAAGAAGAAGAAAAGATTTATCCTGAAGTATTTTTCAGATATAAAAAGAAAATCCAGCAGTAAAATCAATAATCTTCATGTTCTTCCTCATTTTTCAGCAGTAAACAGTGAAATAAAGCCTATTGACACATTGTGTTCATAGAGCTGTGCTTTATGTTTTGAATTAGCTGTTTATGTTGTTTATGTTTTGAATTAGCTGTTATTTTTGATTGGATGTAAATTTAAAGTTTGATGTCAATGTATCTTTTACTTTTTCATGTTCTGATCATTTTACTTTGTAGAAATTTGACAATAAAAATTACATTGACAATGTACATTATACTTTTCATCAGTGGCGGATCTAAATGGGGGGCCAGGAGTGGCCATGGCCACCCTTAGCCAATCATTGGCCACCCCTGTGGCCACCCCTACAGTTTATTTCCCTCTAATATAGATTGTGGCAACAGTAATACTCTCAAGTGGAATATTAAAAATATTTTCATTTTTCATATATTAACTATTAAAAACTGGTTAATTATGCACATCAATATAGTAACAATAAATTCAATTCAATTCAATTCAGTTTATTTATATAGCGCCAAATTCACAACACATGTCATCTCAAGGCACTTTACAGTTCAACCAGATCATACAGTCAAATTGATACAAAGTTTTCTATCTAAGGAAAACCAGTTGATTGCATTGACTCAAATACAATCCCCCACACTAAGCATGCTTGTAGCGACAGTGGAGAGGAAAAACTCCCTTTTAACAGGAAGAAACCTCCAGCAGAACCAGGCTCAGTGTGAGCGGCCATCTGCCGAGGCCGACTGGGGTTCAAGGAGACAGAAGCAGAGATACAAAAAGCAGCTGTAAAAGGCGGCCCCGTCCAGGAAACACACAGCCAGGCAGACGAGCTCCAAGGCAGCTCCCATGCCAGAGGACGAAGAGAGCACATCCACTCAGTCACGGTCAGAGAAACAGGACCACACTGGAAAACAGGCCGATCTCCAACATCTATTAACAAGGGTGTTGATAGAAGCAGCACAGCTGATGTTTTTTTCCAGGATGACGTCACAGCCAAACAGGAACAGACGAGGCAAAGCTACTCTGAGGAAAAGCAGAGAGAGCAGAAGGTTAGAGATTGAACTAACAGATTCTGCAGAATAGGAGAACAGAGAGAGAATGAAGCAGAATGATGAAATGGGGGTCCCTATGTCCTCCAAAAGTCTAAGCCTATAGCAGCATAACTATAGAGATAGCTCAGGATAACCTGAGCCACCCTAACTATAAGCTTTATCAAAAATGAAAGTTTTAAGCCTAGCCTTAAAAGTAGACAGGGTGTCTGCCTCACGGACTAAAACTGGTAGTTGGTTCCACAGGAGAGGAGCCTGATAACTAAAAGATCTGCCTCCCATTCTACTTTTAGAAATTCTAGGAACCACTAGTAAACCTGCAGATTGAGAGCGAAGTGCTCTGTTAGGAACATAAGGAACAATCAGATCTCTGATATAAGATGGAGCTTGGCCATTTAAGGCTTTATATGTGAGAAGGAGGATTTTAAATTCTATTCTTGATTTAACAGGAAGCCAATGAAGAGAAGCCAGGATAGGAGAGATATAGTAACAATAAAGATGATAAGTACAGAATTAAAGCAGGAATAGAGTTTGTATTTTATGGGGCAAAGAGAAAATTATGTGTCTGCAGTCATCTAAGAGTCTTCAGTGAAATCATAGATAAATATCTATTTTAATAAAAACTTATTAATCAATTTATGTCGATATTAGTGCTTGTAAATATAAATTTTATGCAGAATGATTACTTTAAAAGTAGGTAAGTAATGACAATGGAAAAGATGTTTGTCCAAAACTCAAACCTGAAAGAATTGTATCCACCTTTTATCCAGAGAGCACGGATGTTTGAATATATGTGTCTATTTGTTAGCAAAGGCTGTAGGAAAATATAGTTTGTCTTTATTTAGAAAATATGGATGTTTTGCTCATTAATTTTCCTGTTGGAACAGTTTAGAATGACCGTGAAGTTCGGCCACCCCTCAGTGTACATTGGTTATTGCCTGACCACCCTTATAAAAATGTCCTGGCTACGCCTCTGCTTTTCATTTCCATATCTTTATAGCAGTATTAAATCTGGCGTAATTTTGGGTCGCGGTGAGGGCCCAATATCAATGTCTTTCATGGGGCCCCGCTGTGCAATATGCTGCTTATTCTTCTACTTTCAGAAGATGGCGCCTGTTTGACGCCAGAGCGTCTCTGTTCTGTTTGGTGCGCGCGCCTGAGCACAGTCTGGTTTTCTAGGCAATGAATCCAGCAGGCATGACTGGGTGCGTGGGCCATAAGTAAGCACACAATGATGAAGCTGAGAGCCAAGCTTCCCTTCGCAGCGAGCTGACCGTGGACTGGCTGCATCGGGCTGTCAGACAGGAAAGGCGTGGCAGTGGGACGATCCAAGCGCCCCACGCAATGAAAAAAAAACCCAAACCAAGTTCTATTGACCTGAGATCAGCTGAGGCCTTGAAGCTGCTTTCTATTGAGGCACTGGTGTCACATATTACATTTTTAATTGACTAAATCGGTGCCTCTGGAATAAAGCTTTGAATCGTGGGCGTGCCACGCATTGGACACGATCGTGGGGATGCTGTGAGGTGAGTCTGCGTTGCTGCATCTTTGTGATGATGAAGGAGCTGAGGGCTGGGCGTTGTAGGGGTTTCTCTGCACATCGTTTGTTAGAAGATCCGCTTCATCTGTCATTTCTGTTTCCAACACTTGCATATAAATCCCGACTAAAGACGAATTGAGCCACTTCTCGCGGGCATTGGTGTATGTCGCGAGCTTTTATTGGCTTTATCGTTTCTGAAATGCATCATAAAGGGTGGGGATTGTGACTGATGCTGTGGCCGCGCATAGATGAACCACAGCAGATGATCGCTTCTTTAGTCCATCAGTCTTTGGAGGCGTCCGGAGTCACGATGCGCTCTGAACGAAATGGACCAAAATCTGCTTTTGAGCTGAACAAATGTTAGAAAGCTGTTGAGCAGCTGCCACTCGCCTCCGCCTGCCTCCAGGCTGGAAGCCATTATTCCCTGATGCTGCGGTGCTGATGCTGCAGCCAGTGTTGCTAGGCAGCCATGCTCAGCGCGCGCCGCTGTCGTGATGCGAACCTGAGGAGGATAAACAAAAGTAACAGATATTAACGTTTGGGATGAACTGCTGCGCTCAACAAAGCTGCTCAAAGCAAAGGTCTGTTTTTTTGTTGTTGTTTTTTTTGTTTGTCTGCTTTTTCTTACTACCCGGATCTAATACTAGAGCGTTATTATTATGCAGCAACATGATCCTCATAAACAAGCCAGGTTTTACTAAAATACGTGTAATGATTCAAGAAAAGCAGAAAAATACAAAGACAAGCAAATTATCTTCCATACAGTAAATAAAAAGTGCCGATCAATATACTCACTGTACATGAAAGACCTGCTAGAAATCTTCAACCATCTCCCATTAAAGAAACATTTTTCACTTTAAATAAACTCATTCACTGTACTATACAGTTAGTTCAATTTGATTAAATATTTCTTTTATCTGTTTATATTTAACCCCGTCAGTCCAACTCTTTCAGGTATGAACTGGTGTTCTCTTATGCTTCAACGTTCACTTTACACCTACCTGAAGTACATTTGTTACCTGCATTTAATGCAATGTGGTTCTTCTACCTCCCTAAATCTTTGCAATTAGCCAACTATGTAAAATAAAACCACAAAATTGTGCTTGCAGTGAAAAGTTAAATATTTCTGGTTATCTTTAAGCATCTTTAGTTCCTTTAGCACTATTGTTTTTGTTTTGTTTTTTTTGTCTTAGAGAGAATTGGATCATTTGTGTGGATATTATGACTTAAAACTAATACAACTCATTCTGTTTCAGCAATGGACATCTACAGTAGTAGCCATTAAAATTCACACTTTCCTTGATGGGCCCTTGACTGGCCCTTGACTTGTCCTCGACAATTACCTTCATCAATCTTTGTACTAAAATATTCTTTCTGTGACGATTTGTGGACATTAAAGGAGAATTCCGGTTTTTTACACTTTAAGCCCATTTTCTGTAGTGTCCAGGATGAAATCGAATGATCGACACCAAAACTTTGACAATTGCTCCTGTCTCTGCTTTTTGGCTCATTTAGAATCCACCCCTGGCTGCTTCATAATGGCTGCCATAGTGCATGTCCGACAATGTCCTTAAAACAACCTTAAACGTTCTTTTTTTAAAATATGCTACTCACCGTGTCGTCAGCGCTGTTCAATGACGTTCCAAAAAAAGTTTCGTGAAGAAAAAACGTTCCTGTAGTGTTTTATTTAGCATTTTGTAAATCCCATTGAGTTCTGTTGGAATAGTCAATATTCCCCTGCCACCGGAAACGGAAATTGGGCCTGTTTACACAGTTGTAGTCTTTTCGCTTCACTCTGTGTACTCCGACGTCGAGGTGCTAACGTCTCTGTTAAACACTTTAAAAAACTCTGAAAATGGAATACGAAAGGTGGATTCTTGATTCTCGACGTCGGAGTACACAGAGTAGCTGGTATCTATTGGTTGATTAGTTGGTCTAATTAGATCAAGACAGCAGAATAACTACAGTAGCAGCCATTCAAAATGGCCCGTCCCATACCATTCAAATGCAAACTTCCATCCCCTCCTTCTCCTGGCCGTGCATTTTTTTTTTTTACACTGACTCCAACCCTTTTACTGAATCACAGGGTCTGACCAGGAGATGATGCTTCTCTTTAGATCTTAATGTCCACAAATCATGACAGAAAGAATATTTTAATAAAATTAAAAAATGTATCTTAGGGAACCACTCAAGGGCCCATCAAGGAAAAAGGGGACATTTTGAATAGCTACTACTTTATGTTGCTAGCTGTAGATGCTAAATAGGCTTATCTCAATAGGGTTTTGCTACTGTGGCAAAATATATGTATATATATAATGAAACATGTTTCAGCAAGATTCTTTATCCTCTAAATAATGCATTTTTCTTTTAGCCAGCTGACTGGCAGTGCACTGAAAGGAACGAAACAGGAGCAACACTGTTCTGTTCTTCATTCTATACAGCCTGAGAATAAACCAGTTATAAAATCCAACCAAAACACTTTAAACTGTAGGAGAGTTATTACAGTAAATATCACACATTATCTGGCAACACTTTGATACCAGTGACTGAACAATACATGAAGGAGCTTCATATATAATGAGGTCACTACTTCTTTTCCCCTATTATAAAGTTTTGCATTAACAGAGATACACAGTATCTATGAGGCTGAGCTGACAGTCAATGAGTGAAGCACTACAGCTTCCTGCCAGTCAAAGAGATTAAGACAGACCCCAGCGGACGGTCAGCAGGGAACCATGACCTTCTTTCTGCCGAAGCTTAGATGAGCGATGAGTGCTGACTGGCAGAAGGTCTCAGGGCAGGTTGCTCCAATATGATCATCTCTGCAGGGGAATCTGTCACTTACAGATACCAGCATGAGGCACAACAGATTTATTAACAGGATGCATTTCAGTTACCTAATTTCTCACAGAATGAGGGAAAATCTGCCGCTTTGGTCTTTTCATTTCAGCCCACTTCTAAGAATGTTTAATACCTCCTTTTACACCATTTTTGGCTTTTGGATCAAAAATGTTTTATAAATTTCATCTTAAAAAAGGAACATTTCCACTATTACTCCACCACATCCACCTCCTTCAGATAACATAGAGGAGATGAGAAGTCAGAATTACAACAACTTTGAGTTGTTTGAACAAAAGAAAAAAATATTTCAGTAATAAAAATAAGACAAAGTTTAAACAACAATAAAATAGTATCTTAAGAATCCTTAAAGTGTCTGCATCTGTGGTATATTGATAAAATGAATTATGAAGAAGGTAATAAACTTAAAAATGAGGGATAAAACACATATATAAGGCTAAATAAAAAATAAATAAATATGGCTGAGCAATGGATAAAAATAAATGATTAGATTAAAAATGCATGTATACAGGAGGTGTTTGTTCATAAAGGGGGACCCAGAAGGGAGCATTTAAAGAGCTGATGGACCAGATGGATTTTTTAATGACCTTGCTTTGACATCTGGTCTCATGATGTGACTGATGGCTGGAAGGTCAGACCTGATTACCCTCTGAGCTGCTTTCTGCCGTTCCGCAGCGGCTGCTGCTCCTTTGTGTGGCGTTCTTCATACCATTCTGTGACGCCGCAAGTCAGGTTGCTCTAAACCAGGCAAAGGATCTGAGGAAATCTAACCTTCTCAAAAAGCGAAGATGCTGCTGATCATGTGGCTGGTAGAGTAGCTCAGGAAAACTATGGACACCATGGAAACATAAATCTGGTATCCTTTCTGATAGCTGTTGATAATTGGTCCGGACCAGAGATTCCCAAAATCGACAACAGTTACATTGTTTTTTCAGACTAAGCCAATAAAAGTGGGACTTTCTGTTCTGAAGTTTACATAGACTCATCATGGGGATGAATATAGTGCTGATATGAAACCACATTCTTCCTGTTTCCATCAACCATATCCTGTCCAATCTTTTCTTATTGTAATGAGATGCTTTGGGGCTTTCACTGATTAATCTATTCTGATTAGGTTTTTATGTGTGTTTGGGTTGTTTTTCCACTTGTTTCTGGGCTTTAACCATCCGACCTAAGGGACACACAGAGGAGGAAAAACAATTTTGATGTTACAAGAAGACCTGAGCAACATATCAAGATAAAAACACACAGAGATTATTTTGAAAGAGTTAAAAGATGAGTCTATATTATTTATATACAGATGATCTGGGTTGGAATGTAATAATATTTTTAACAAATGCTGCTATTTTATTTTCCATCCAAATCTCTTTCAAATGTATGAACAGTGATGTTTAGATTATGTGGAAATGATGTATTAGGCCTGTTTGTAGTTTTTTTTTTTTTTTTTTTATATTCCAGGTGTTAATAAATGCAGGGGTGTCCTAACTAATTCCTCTGCCAAAGCTGCACTTTTGCCCTTGTCAACCGTTAACCTGTTAAAAGCTAAAAAATGATAATAAATAACCCAGAGCTGCTTAATTAGACTCCCATCTACATCCATGCTCTCACTGGCAGACATGTGACGTTTATAAGTTATAAAACTATTTTGATGTAGAGTTCAATGAAAGTAAAAGTCTCTGAGTATTTTTAAAATGTTAAGATTCAAATCTCCTGTTCATCTCAGAGAGCAGCTGACGGAGGGGAAAGTGATGTAGCTTGAAGTTTCTGTTCTTTCAAAGCTTTTAATGGAAACAAAAGTAATGTGATGATGCAGCATCGTCAGCCATCCGGCAGACTGAAGATAAGCAGGAGAAGCAGAAATGGAAGGACAGCAGCAGGAGGGTCATGTACCAACATCCTTAGTCATTGTTGGGGGGGGGGTATGACTCCTTTCTCTTTCAACCGTCATCTAAAACCAACATCACTTCAGATGCAGATCTGTAATCAATGCACTGTTGAAAAAAGCCTAACTCTGGTCAAAGCATGCTAGTTTTCATAGATAAAAAAAAAGAAAAAAAAAACATTTCTAAGTATAAAAGGACAGGATCAACGTTTTATATTCATTTTAACAGCTTTTTAGCATTGTTCCTCAAGGAAGTCATGTTTGCACTGGAAAACAATCTAGAAATAAGTAAAAATGTCTTAAATTAAGTGTATTTACCCTTAATTTGAGTAGGTAAATGACATAGTTTGCCAATGGAATGTATATTTTTACTCTTAAAATAAGATAATCAGAAAATATGCACTTGAAATAAGATAATGCAATTGCTTTTTCTTATCTTAAGTGTAAATTTTCTTGTTCCATTGGCAAAATGTCTCTTTTACCTCCTCAATCGAGAACAAATGCACTTATTTTAAGAAAAAATGACTGATCTAGAAATTTTTCCAGTGTTTCTACAGGATAACTTGTAAAGTTAAATGGATTTTAAGGACATTTTTATCAGATATGTCCCTCATTTAAAGGGAGGGACACATTCAATTTTATGGATACCGGAATGTTTTAAAATATCCTGAAAATGGGATGTTTGGTGGAACAAGTAGTTTCCTACCAAACCAGAGATTGACAGCATTTTAACTACTGACAGCCTCAGCATCAGGCTAAAAAATTCTGGATTAAATATGCTGCTTGGCGGAGGTCTGCGCCCTCTGAGTGCTCTTCTAGTTATCTAATATTTTATTGCTAATCTTGTTGGGTTTGAGTTTATTTTAATCCAGAAGCTCAGTTAAAGGTTTAGCTATCTGCTGGGGGGTTTATACTTAATGCGCTTTAACAATTTCCGTGGATCTGATCAAGTTTCGGAAAATTGAGGGGGTGTAACCTGAGAGTGCATGTCAGCTGAGCTTTTACAGAGCTGTAACAAATCAAGTGAGTAAGCCATTAAGTCAGTTAGAAGCCTGCAGCAGTGGATGGGAGGGTGTGGTGTGTGTTCAGGACGTTATCTGGTAACTGCAGCTCCGTTTGTGTGTCTGGGAGGGGCCATCCCTCCACACAAAATCCTTACAGTAACTCTTTACGCTTTACAATAACGCCACAGCTGTATCATTTCCTCTTAGTGGTGCTCTCTGCATGTGAGATCCAAGTGCTTATGCCTGCGTTTTCTGTCTGAGCTGCATTTCCTCCCCCAGGACCCAGAGGAATACAGCATCCTTTATGTAATGGTATAGTATTCACTTTAATGCCTACATTTAAAAGTTACTAGGAGATAAGATCTTAATGTTCACTTTATACTTGCAAACAGGAAATGAGATTCTTTAAGTCATTGCAATATGCAAAGGTATTTATAATTGGACCAAATTGCACACGAGTGAGAACTTTGATTGAATGGTTTATGTTTTTTGAATTATTGATCACAGAGGTTGGATCTTCCATGGGTTTTAATTCTGTTGAGGCTGATGTGCAGATTGGATTCTTTCTGTCTTTTAAAAGAAATAACTTGAAAAGACTTAATCTGCTTGATTAGTTTTGCTGAATTTTGCAAAGGAAAGGGAAAGGATGGAGAAGTTAGTATTTCTGTAATTGAGGAAAGAGTTCTACACACTGTGCCTTTACAAATGTACTTATAGAAGAAATCACTCTTGAACCTTTTCATATCTCAGCTTCAGTGCCGTTCATAAAGTGGAAATATAGGGAATTAGTGACTAAACAGAAGGATGCTACGTGCTGAGTGTTGTACAAATAGAAGAAGATAATGTGTAATTTACAGTTCAATATAATACCTTTAATTAACCTGTCAACTGACTACATAAAAATCACCAAAAACATCTGAAAAAGGCATGAATTAAATCAGATGCTATAGGTTAACCCTTCGAAGGACCTATGCTGCCCTATAAATCATTGTAAAGGCAGAATGTCTTTATAATGGTATTGTGGCGGTATGGGGCAGATGAGACGTGACAGTCAACCAGTTTAAATCTGCTACAAAAACAACAAATTAGGCGCAGAAGTGAATTAATTCCTTAAAGGAATAGTACACCCAAAACATGATTAGCCTTCATTTTCTACTCACCCCCATGCTGAACAACACTCTGGAGTACTTTTTTGATATCTCAAATGCATCTGGAGATCTGGGAGGCTTCTTGCTGTCTGCTGACATTCAAATAATGGAGGTCTATGGTGACCGAGACAGAAAGGTCCATAAAAGTCCACAAAAAACGTGTCAATATTCCTCCATACTGCTCGTCCAATGTATTCCAAGTGTCCTGAGTGGGTAGCATCCAGAATTTACTCGAAACGAAGTCATTTAAAATGTTTTTAGAGCATAAACAGTAGTGTATAGGATTTCCTGAAAGCGCGCACACGCGCGCTCACGACGCTACGGAAGCCGGCAGATCAAACCAGATGAAAGTGCGCATTCAGCGTCTGCTCTTCCAATAATGCAAGCGTAGAAGAAGAAATGTGCTGTTTACCTGTGCAAAGAAAGAAACAACGAAAGAAAAATATCTGAGGACTTCAGTGTTGAGGAAGAGCATGAGTTCTTTGCCGAGCTGAATGCGCTGGTTTGGTCTGCCGGCTTCCGTAGCGTCATGAGCGCGCGTGTGCGCGCTTTCAGGAAATCCTATACACTACTGTTTATGCTCTAAAAAGATTCTAAATGACTTCGTTTCGAGTAAATTCTGGATGCTACCCACTCAGGACACTTGGAATACATTGGACGAGCAGTATGGAGGAATATTGACACGTTTTTTGTGGACTTTTATGGACCTTTCTGTCTCGGTCACCATAGACCTCCATTATTTGAATGTCAGCAGACAGCAAGAAGCCTCCCAGATCTCCAGATGCATTTGAGATATCAAAAAAGTACTCCAGAGTGTTGTTCAGCATGGGGGTGAGTAGAAAATGAAGGCTAATCATGTTTTGGGTGTACTATTCCTTTAATGAAGTCTGCCTGTATGTTATCTATAGGAGAACAATAGCCAACAAACAGCTTCAAGAAGACAAAGGAACACAGCAGGCAGGTCAGGTAGAATGTTGTGGAGGCATGTTGAGGTTAAAAAACCATCACACAGAAATCTATCGAGTCCAGGAATGAAAATAAAAATGATGCAGCATTAGTAGAAATACATTAACAGATGGGCAAAGACAGCATGAATCACAGAAGCATGCAAGAGGTTAGTTCGATCAATGTGAAGGTATTCAAACCCTTAAACAGCAGCTTGTTTTTGTCTTTTTATCTCCGACACACTTCAATGACATAAAACAGTTCAGTCAGTAAATTCAAACTGAGCCAATGTTGAATTCAACACAGATAGCCTCAAGCTTAACTCTTAAGGCGGATTTATACTTCGAAACTCGCAGTGAATGCAAAGACGTCCCCGCCCCCTCTGCAGACACTCTGCTGCACCTCTCCCAAATTGTAGGTGAACGCAGACAGGAGGCCTCTGATTGGTCAAATCTACATCCGCTGCCGGATTGTTTTGTTTGTATTACTGCAAGTGCGGAAAACAACTCGTGAAGTTGGACCAGCTAGAAGAGAGAGGTGCACGAGAACTCTGGGACCCTTTTTCCACCTGGATCCCCGCTCTTTTTCACCCTCATGTCCCTCCGTTGTCTGACAACGGAGGGACACTTCCTCACCACCAGCTGGTTTATGATTCTCTTGTGGCATGGAATAGATCATGCTATAAAATTAAGCATAAATCAAAAATGTCTGTGGGGAGTATATCCAGCACTTTATACTTATAAATGCTTGGGTATTGACTAGGTTCTTTACTTGTAGCATAAACCCATATCATCATACTGCCACCATTGTGCTTTAAGGTGGCTGTCAGGTGTTGGTTTGCTATCTTTGTTTCCTTCATGATTCTGTTTAAAATCAGACATTTTTTTTTCTTACCAAGGAAATTATGTACTTATACCTTGTGAAAGCATTGTGAGTGGTCACACTCCTCTGCTTGTTGAAGCTATGTGGGACATACGATCCATTACTACCAGATTTATTATTGTTCATTTTGATCTCTAGTTGCCATTTTTATTTTCCTGATTCTTTTTTACATTCTTATCTGATAACTACCAGCCATCATGTTTTCAGCTTAAACCTTTACAATATTTTGTGAACAGGTCTCTAAGATTTCCCACATTTCCATGATTCAATGCACCTTTTTTCTTGCATGTCTCCCCCAGGTTTTTATAAACTGACTATAAAACGTTAAAGATGAGCAAATCTCCAACACCAAAGGGCACTCCAGTGCAGCGCAGCCCCAGCGATGGGGTCCCTGAGAGCCTCCAGTCACCACAGCACTCTACACCTGTCTCTGGACTTCATCAAAAGAAAAGGATCTCCAGCCTCCTCCAGAGTCCGGTTAGATGCCTGCTTTTATCTTTTAATGCAGTTTGGGGCTTTGTTAAAAAACTTAAGACGCTTAGAAATTCTAACACCTTTTCTTTGTAAATGTAATTACTGTATCTTCTTACATTTAAACAGCACTGAACTTCAGCAGAGGTGATTTATTTGGACTAAAACATTAGTCTGTTTGTTGCAGAAATGAACTGATGGAAGTGGGACATCTTTCGCAGCCCTTAGTTTAACAAGTATAAGATGTGTAATGTTGACCTGAAGACATTTTGGATTATTTTAGGAGCTTTTACTGAAAACAAGACTGGACAGTTTTATCTCCATTTAAATCCTGTGTAATAACTTGTTACCTGTGATTTCTGTTCAGTCATTTCGAGAGGAGCTGGATGTGCTGATCCAGGAACAGATGAAGAAGGGTGGCAGCTCATCCAACCTATGGGCATTGAGACAGCTTGCTGACTTCATGGCGTCTCATGGCTCCCCAGCCGCCCTGCCAGCTGTACCCTCCAGTACGTGTCAAAGATTTTGCAGTAAATCTCTTTTCACATAGACTTAGACAAACTTTATTGTCATTTTGAAAACACAGAGTGTATAGAAAACGAAATTTCATTACATACAGCCTTGGTATTTAATTTAAGTTTTAAACCGTGACGAATAGCAACAAATAAAACTTCAGAAGCAGAAAAATCAAAATTTTTTTATGAAAATACTCATTTAGTGGTTCAAAGGCACCATCAAATCAAAAGGCCGTGAATGTCTGTCAAAGAGAACATTAATACCAGAAAGCAAAGCAGGTAAACAATGAAACATACAGTGGATGCAGAACATCACAGAACACAGTAGGACCCACAAAGAGCAACAGTGAGACAGCAACGGTTAACCAACCCTGAAAACAAACTCAAATGAAACTATATTACCAATTTACTAATTTAATTAATGAAACCTGTGTGAGTGTGCTAAACTGCCCCTAGAAGGAGAGAGGACATCTTTATAGTTTTAAACACAAATTGAAAAGTAATTTCCACTCCAAGCCTCCAAATGCAGGGACTTACAGAAGAGCAAAACCAGCCTACTCTTACATATAAAATGCCTTGAAACTTGTGTCTAAGAAATAAAATCTGAGAAATAAAAAATCTAATATTCAATAAAATTTTTAGTTGGAAAAAAAGTCACATAAAGTAAAGCAATATCTTTTAATAAATACTAAACTTTTATCCATTGACCACTCTACTGGATGAATAAACCGCCTTTATCTTATCTGAGGGGGGTGAGATTGTGGGGGGTGAAGGCAGAGATAAGTTCTGTTGGGTTTAATGAGGAAATTGAGGCAAACATCCAAAAACACAAAAATACTGACAACCAACAAACCAGCAAAGATCAGGAAAAACCAGGGAGCCAGAGGGGAGGAAGCAATCAAACAACAAGGAACTAGCGCTGAGTAACTGCACAGGGAGAGTATATAGGAGACAGAACAAAGACTGGGGTAATCAGATGATCTGGAGCAGGTGTGGATGGAAGTGACTAGAAAGGAGCTAAGGGAAAGAAGACAGGCACAAGGGGGCAGCAGATAGTAACTTAGGACTGCTTAAATATAACACAAAATGGAAAACAAAACAAAAGATCAACAAAACAGAATTACTTAGATAGTGAAAACTGAAAAATAAAAACTCAATGTCCCAAAAGGGAAGAACCACAACAAAAACACAGTAAGAAGGATTTTAAAGGAGGTAAATAATAATTACCTTGTTAGAGAACTGCAGCAATGACTCTCTCTATAAATATCAACTATTGCAGCTTCATATAATGTCAGGATAAAGGCTTTTCTGGCCTACTATCTGGGTCGGCCCAGCCTCTAAGGGACCTGAAACAAAATTAGATTGTAGGGGCCCCCATTTCTGCCAAATCAACAGTCCAATGCTCAGATCATTCACACAAAGACTATAAACTCATTTAAAGGCGAAGTACAGCCTGGACATGTCGCAAGTCCATCGCAGGACAACACAGAGGCACGCAACCATGCACACACACACACACAAGCACACCCACACACACACACACACACACACACACACACACACACACACACACACACACACACACACACACACACTCACACCGAAGGACAATTAGAGACGCCATTTAACCTAACTGTCATGATTTTGTAACTTGGAATCAGCCAGACATGTAATACGTGTAATTCAATTTAAATTCTGCACGGTATCAATCTGGTAAGACACACAGAGAAAGGGTTCCCAAAAGGGAGGGACATTCAGTACAATTCTTAAAGCTGATTGGATAGATTAAATGTCACCAGCCTCCTATGTCAAGCTTTTAGCCAAATCACAGCAGCAGTTGATTTGTTTCACAATTAGCAGAGTCAACTGATAAATTTAACTGTTACTAATTCTGGTCGGGAGAACAAACAAACATCTTCTCATCCACAAGCGCACAAATGACGTCCTGCTCGTTTCTAAAAAAGAGATGGACGGTATTACCTTCAAAGCCAGAGCAGCCATGCTTGTTTTCTTCATCCTTCCTCTTTTGCTTGATGTGTTGACGTCATACATGTAGCCCAAAAAAACAGACATAATTCATTTAAATAAACAAGAAAACTTTAAACTGACATTTATTCTCTAAAGATTTGTGTCTCTCAGAGAGATTTAACTGGTCTTCATTATTTTTCATGTATAAGACTCAAACGTTATTGTCATTTTCTATACATAATACTTAGTTTATACATAATATACATAATAATTTAGTTTATACAGTGAATGAGCAGCATTGATCAGCAGTGAAACAGAACATTTCCATTCATAATGTGCAGCAGTGATCAAATGTGTTAAACAGTGTGGGAGAGACATGGTGCAAAAAGGCATTTATTTGGAAGTAAGTAATGATTGTACACGATTAGAGATACTTTAATATATAAATGTCATAATTTTATCATGAAATTGTGGATTTCTGTTGCTATATTTACATAAAAATCCTTCACCATACCATAACCGAACAATTAATTGTTCTAGCTGCACCTAGTTGACTTGGGACCATAAGCAGTCGCTAAGTTTCCTTATCCCTTGGGCTGCCCTGCCTACCAACAAGGCTTATATTGATATCGACAGATACAAATCCAATCAAAGTGGTACTTAATAATATAGAAACAAGCTGGCAACGAGAGAAGGAAGATCACTGCTCTGGTAAAACTAAATTAGGACATGATTCTTTTTTTCCTATCTACTCATGTCCTCTCAGCCTCAGCCCTCTTTTCTCTCTTCTTTGTGGTAGACATGATGATGGTCACCCCGATCAACGACCTGCATGGTTGGGAGCCTGGAAGCATGGTGAAAGGGGAGCGGTTGATGCGCTGCAAACTGGCCAGCACCCACCGGCTGTTCGACCTTTATGGCTGGGCTCAGCTCAGCCAAACTCTCCTCACAGTTAGTTTACAAATACTTTCAAGTTTCATTCCTGCTTTTATTCCTCTGCTGTGCCAAGAGGAGTCAGAATATACTATTCACCTGTGTTTAATTTACTACAATGCTTGATGTGTGTCTCACTGGCGTTTTCTCCTTTCTGTCAGCTGCGTGTGAGTAAAGAACAGGAACACTTCCTTGTGCTTCCAGAAGGCCTGGCCTACAGTGAGGTGACTGGATCCAGCCTGGTGAGTCAGGACTTTTGTGTTGAACACACACAAAAAACCCTTCCAGTTCCATTGTTGTATCTACAAAAAGTAAACGCTCAGAACCGGAACCTGTGCAAACAGAATTTCCGCAAGCTGGAAAATCTCAAGTACTGTTTGAGGTAGAAATATTTGATATTTGAAATATTGTGCAACCAATATATCCTGACTTGGATACAATATAAACAAGTGTTAAAGACTAGAACCAAGAAAACTGTAGTTCTTAATGAGAATGTTGAAAACTTAAAAGGTACAAAATATAAAAAAGGTAAAATATAGCCAATGAAGTTAAAACAAGTAAAAATCAAAGGGTAAAGCTTGTTCTTAGCTGGCAGTCAGGCTCTTTAAAGGCTTCTTACTCCCAACTTCCCAAAATCTAAATTCCTGTATTAATGATAACTTACTAACTTTATTTTAATTATATTTTAATTAGGTCTAAGAATATCCCTTCAAAACTCAGACAGTGTGTGTAAAGGTTTTTTATTACAAATAGATTTTTTTGGTCCATTTGTTGTCATTGTGGGACTGGATCAGACTTTTTAGAAAGTTAAGTACAGAGTTTGTTATTTGTAAATTTTTAATGAGATCCACTGAGACAGTTTTCATTTAGATTTATGGGTGTGCAGGAAACAGCCCATAGAAAGGTTCCCACTCATGCTTTTAGTATCTATACAAAAAAGTGATAAGATAAAAAAAACACTTAAAATTCTAAATAATTAGTTAACTAACAATTCAAAATGTATAGTCCAAAGCATTTTTTTTTCATTAAAAACTGGAGTAGGAAGTAATGCATTGTTTAATATATTTATAAATTCATATCTCAACAAGAGAGGGTGCATTTCTATTAAGTCCTCTTTGCTCCTAGCCTCGTGAGACCATCCTGATCTCACGAGCTTTCAAGGTTTCACTCGCAGATCAGTCTGGAGACTCTCCGTTAAAGAAAATTTGGAGCCGTTCACCAAATGAACGTCCAATCAGCGTTGGCTTTGAGGCGGGTTTAGGTGTGACGCAATGAGAAGCGCGACAGTTCAGTCTAAAGAACATGGCGGCTTCAGCCGATGAAACTAGCGTTAGCGTGGCTATCAAGCAAGTAGTATCGGAATTACAGAGTATTTCTTCACTGAAAGAAGAGCAAAACACTGCTCTGGAGGCTTTTCTCAGAGGAAAAGATGTTTTTGCTCTTCTCCCGACTGGTTTCGGCAAGAGTAGCCTGGTTTGTGTTTTCGTCGTCGCTCTGTTAGTACGTCATATGCTTCGTTAATCTGATTGGTTTATTTTGCCCGTCTATCACCAACATAGGCCAATCAGCTAACCAGTATTTTCGCCCCTTCCGAAAATTACTTCAACGGAAGGTTTCCAGATGGATATGCAGAGCAAATCCATCTGGCGGAGTCAGGTTACTTTGCTCCAGCATCCATAAAAAAATAGAATAGAAAAAAAAGATTTATTCCTGGTTGCATACGATACTTGCAATGTCCTATGAGAAAAGAATTCTCCTCCTTAGAGACAGGAAAAGGTTATAAATAAACCCGATGTGGCAGATTTTTGTAGTTTAGACCGAGCTCATTCTCAATGCTTATTCTGTCAGACACCTGCATAATTTAGTGCAAATACTTCATGGTAAATACAGCTCCTGAATACTGCACTCTCTGTAGTATATTTATTTCTATATGTTTATATATAGAAATGTTCATAAAATAAAATAGAAAACACTGTGTTACTCAGCAGGTTAGAATAGCTTTTGTTTATTCCTATATGCAGACCTGTGGTCTGCTGCTCTGCTAAAACCCTCAGCAGTTCCAGCTTATACGCAGAAGCAGGTTTTCAGCTAAACACCACAGTCAGGGAAACTGCTGATGGTCTTTTTTTTGCTTTTCATAACAGGTGAAGGTGAATCTTCTGGGTGAGGTGGTGGAGAAAGGCAGCACCAACCTACAGGTGGACTCGGACAAGTTCAGCCTGCACTCTGCCATCTACTCAGCGCGGCCCGATGTCCGCTGCCTGCTTCACCTCCACACGCCTGCTACAGCGGCGGTGAGTCAGTGAGGGATGGCTGTAACTGAGGGCGGCGTTGCTACTTTACTGACTCTACTCTGACCTGCACAGGAAAGACACTATTCCTCAATTTATTTCTCTTACAGTTGTTATCCAAATATTTCTTTCATCTCAAACATGCTTGGAATGTTGCTTGGATACTTTAAAAGTGAACTCTCAAAGCTGACAGCTTACTGTCTCCAGGTTTCTGCTATGAAAAGCGGCCTGCTGCCTCTGTCCCATGAGGCTCTGCTGGTTGGTGACGTGGCTTACTATGACTATAACGGTGTCATGGGGGAGGAAGCGGACAGAATGGAGCTGCAGAAGAGTTTAGGACCCACTTGTAAGGTGAGCAAACTGAAAGAACCACTAATTCAGCCTTTAGCGCTTGCTTTCCACCCACGATATTGAGCTTCAGAACTGAATGCGAGCGATCCAAGAGGTGATGGAGCTCACATTGAATTAATAATTAAAGCTTGTTCTGCTACCTATCACAGATGTTCTTCCTTCCAGGTTCTTGTGCTGAGGAATCATGGCATTGTGGCTCTGGGGGAATCACTGGAGGAGGCTTTCTACACCATCTACCACATACAGGCAGCCTGCCAGATCCAGGTACCACTAATAAGGTTGCTCAGAGATACTTGTATAAACTTCATGTATTAGTAGTTTTTAATGTAGGGCTATTTACTAGAGGAATCTTCTGTTTATATCACGTTAATCCCCATCTTTGTCTTTACCCATAGAAAGACATGATTAATGATGTTTTGATTTACTTTTGGCTTTCTTTTGTCTATTTAATCAAAGCTGGACTCACTGTAAGACAAACTGCAAGGTTTTAGAGCCTTTTATGCCAGGAGTAGTTGATACTAGGACTTAAATTGCAAGAGGTCGGGTTGTGTTTTGTTTTTTATCAAGGTTACTGTTGGAATAACTCTTGATGTGTGTGTTTTTTGTTTTTTTTCCAGGTGTCGGCTTTGTGTTGTTCTGGGGGGGAACACAACCTGATCATGTTGGACCTAACTATCCATAAACCCAACCCGACTGGCACCGTCGGCTGGGCCGGCTCCACCTTCGGACCCCTGCATAAGAGCCGCACTGGAGAACATGAGTTTGAAGCTCTCATGAGAACTCTGGATAATCTGGTAAGCAACAGTTTGAAATGCATCAAGTCCTTCGCTGGGCAGCATGCAATTTGGTGCCTTGTTCTTTTGGCAGTGAGGGACATAAAACTGAAATGAAAACATTTCCATATGGTTTCTCTTTCCTTTAATGATGAATATTTTGTTCTGACAAAGAACATCAATTAGTTTAGACAGCTTTATATTCTACAGGACACCATGTGTCATTGTTGCTCACACATCTTCAGTCCTCAGTAATCTAATTCATGGATCTGTTGTTGTCTTGCTGTGTTGTTTGCTTAAAGGTATAGTGGAGCATGTTCTTTTTCCAGGTGGATCATTAAAATAAATGGTCCTACTAAATGTCAGTCATTCTGGTGACATGTTTACGTAAGGCCGTCCTATGTGCTCATCCCCCTTTTCACTTACCGGTGTTGAGTCTGGCATGGTGGAAAAATTGCGAACCTTCTTTTGGAAACTAAGCTTGTATAAGCAATGCAAAAAGCAACTTTTAAACAGAGTGCAAGAGGAGAAATGGGCTTGTTCATGCTCTTGCACGCGTTTAATAGACGTTCCCTCTTGGAAGCAGGTATAGGGTTGTGTGTCCGCATTTTATCTTAAGTGGAAAGGGCAGGTTTTTTTCAAAAATTCACGAAAATCCACCTCTAGACCTTTATATGCCAGGCTTATTTACCATGATTCAATATAATTCCCTGATAATGTGGCATCTGTTACATTTAGTTGATTTTGGACAAAGCATGTTGAAAACTCTCTCCTTTGAATGCCCTAACCCTAGCTACTAGTGTCTTTCTCTCTGTATATCTCTTTCTCCTAACTTTTTTTTAGAATTTCTTGAAGTTGTCTCATCATGGAGACCTTTACTTGATATAAGCATTAATACCATAAAGAGACGGAAAGCACTTTTGCTACACTTTCTATTGATGCTTCAAAACATAAGGTATAAAAGATTTCCTGTGGTTTTTTAATTGAAGTCTTAAAACAGCAGTGAGAAAAGTTGAGTGTTCAGAAGCGGCAGCTTAATGTAGCACATAAAGCAGTTCTATGGACTAAAAGCTTAAACCACAAAAACTCAGCGGGCTGAATACACAGACTTTAAAAAAAGGTTTCTATCTACCCACAAGGCTCACTTGGTGATGAAGTTGGTGGAACATTATTAAACCTAATGGACGACACAACAAATGGAGTCCTGCATGCAGTGCATACTTTATTCTGAAAAAGCTTTCGGTGTCGTCTTTAGGGCTATCGTACCGGCTACGCCTACCGCTTCCCTGTGCTGCTGGAGCGCTCACGGACCCGGAGGGAGGTGGAGGTGCCAGCGACCGTAACAGCCTTCCACCAGTTTGATGATGATGGCATCCACCCGGCTCTGAGGCAGCACCCTTTTGCTCAGCGGCAGCAGCAGGAGAGGACCCGATGGCTCAATACCCCCAACACCTACCAGAAAGTCAGCCAGGAGCAGGCGAGCCCGGGACACCAACGCACCACTGTGAGGCTTCTGGTTCTGAACAAGCTGATGTGCAAACATATGCTTAAAAAATGTGACATGTTGCAACCACAAACTTCAAAAGAGTTTATTTTACCTGCCAAAGAAAAAAAATATACAAATAATTTTATCACAGTGTTGAAATTATGAAATTATTAAAGGGGATAAAGGAAAAGGAAGAACAAACATTTTTACATTTAAGTATGTAAAACACTGACATACCTGCATACCTTTGAAATCAGGAAACACATTCTCAACCTTTTGAGACTGACCATCAGAAAGTATGAAATCATGCAAAATGAAGGTTAGATCCTGTAGTTTAAAAAAAACAACTTTTTTCCAACTAAACTGTTTCTTAAAAGTTGCCTCGATATGTGTTCTGCCCCTAAATGTAATCCAGCTTCATCTAAGTATGAATCGCAGCGTCCTGTGAAACCCTCCCAGGTTGGTCAGAGAACATTAAGAAAGATAATAGAGCATCATAAATGCCAAGGAACACAGACCCAAAGCGAGGAAGTTGTAGATTAGAAGCTAAATTAGGATGGGGCAATAAAACAATATCCTAACCTTTGCACATGTCAGGAAACGCTGAAAAAATAAGACATAAACTCATTTATATTCACTTTTCTAAAATGTTGTTTATATTTAACCCCTAAAGGTCACCATTTTTCCTTAAAGGGGTCATAGAATGCAAAACCGAGTTTACCCTGTCATAGATGAATAACGATAGTTCAGTGGGTGAAATGGAGGTACAGAGAAGTTCGAACCTCATCGACACTTCCTTTTTCTGCAAATCCCACAATTCCAAACTTCCACCACAAAACAGGCGAATTCAAACAAAGCCCAGACTTAATGTAAATTCGGGGATGTGGCCTTATTTGGTTCTGGCCTGTACTTTTATCATGCCCCAAAATTTACATACAGCTTTAGTGTTGACTGCTGGGGCGCTGACTGGACCAGATCTCAGCAGAGAGCCATGAGCCGCCCGTCCTTAGCTGGTAAGGCAGGCGGGGGAAAGCACAGGGCCGCCTGTGTCCAGGCTACCATCACCAGGTCGGGTTCGGTCACTCCGTCTCCCGCTGGTTCCCTGCCCCCGCCTGCCGGAGTTCCCATACCAGCTCTCGGCTCGGTTCGAATGCCTTGTGTGTTTCGACTATGTGCTGCACTATAGTCGACCAAAATCCCAGAAGATTTTTAAATTCTCCCCATACATTTTTTAGGTATGAAAAGTAGGACATGTCCGGAAAAAAGAGGATGTCTGGTCACCCTACCATATCAACAATTTCGATGTTTCAGTGAGTGAGTGCTTGTTGCTATGATGCGTCTTAACTCAGAAGCTTCGCTCGTTGTAAACCAACCAATCAGCGCACAGCTCATCTAAATATTCATGAGGATACCATGAAAGGAAGAAAACCTGTTATTCTACCTCTCATTCTAGGGCTTTTGACCAGGCTTGTATTAGGGCTCATAGAACAGCAAACATGCCATTTTCAGCCTTTTCAACCACTGTTACACACCCTATTCAGAGACCTTAAGGACCAGCACCAAATACCCTATAGAATCATTCTATGACCCCTTTAAAGAATGATGGGTAGATGGCATTTTAGTCTTACTGGACTGGAGCCTACAGAGTAAACACAGGAAGGCTAACATGCTGCATTTGGTGTTAGTGTAGACAATACCACGCTGAGCTGTTATACATAAGATATCTTTTGAAATGAAGAAATGAGATCAGGTGTGATCTGATGTTTAGGCTACTATATTAGCTAGAGCTAACACTATTTGAAGACAGGGGAACACTGAAAGGGGAACAAGGGAAAGAAGCTACTGGTAATTTTAAAAATTACGGTAGTAAAATCTGAAGATTTATTTTGATTCCACTGTAGCTAAAATCCATCACTGGCAGTTTAAAGTGACACATACTCTCCCCTCTTCCTCTGTTAGTTTCTAATCTTCATTACCTGTTAGTATTTCTACATTCTCATCAATTTCATCCTTCTCCAGTTAAAACTAAAAGGTTTAATGTTACACATTGCTGTTCTGGCTGGATGGAGCTAGCGTTACAGGACTCAGCAGAATGCATTGCAGTGCAAAGAACATGGCAATGTCTGTGTTTGTTTAAATGTATTAAAACTAAACAGCTTAAAGTATTTTTAATGTATTATAGTTGAATTTAAATATATACTTCTCAAATGAAATCTATTGTTACAACTTATGGTGGATCCCTATAAAAAGATGCATTAAATGCTGGTTAATGTGATAAAGCTTAAACTTTCTCTAAATAAACAAATAGTCATAATGTGTTCATGTCTTTCTGCTTTAGGTTTACACAGAAAGTCTCTTCATAATAAAGAGTTTATCCAGCTGGAAGAAACAATAAAGGATTTTAATCTGAGCAACAAGGTTTTACTGAAAAAACTGGCTAATGTGGTTTACCCATAAAACACAAATTGGTTTCTTAATTACATTAAAAAAATACTGCTTAAGCTGCTTAGGTCAGATGAGACCAAGATACCTATTTTTATCATCATTCCAACAATAAGATGCTGCATCGGCAGCCTAAAGCTTTGGTGAAGCATTCTTTAGCTTCCCGCTGGTCAGAGCTGATGGATGGAGTTTATTAATACTAGAAGCAGTGGGAGAAAAGCTGTACAGGTTCAGCCTCTGGCCATGAAGCCAGATGTACAGTATATTGATTTAAAACAAGGAATGGTTATGAAATATAATGACTCAGAGGTCCAAACTATAAGAATTTGTTGCAAAAAAACAAACAAAAACAAAACAATCTTTAATCAATGCTTTCTCTTTGCCAATGTGTTGTAATCTGGCAACGGACATGCAACGCTTTAGATTTCTAATTTGTTTATCCCTTTTAAAACAACTGGCTTTTCACTTTAATGTTATCTTTTGTCATATATAGACTGTCACCTAATGTTACAATAAAATGCTTTGAAAATTTGGGGTTGCAACATAACGTGAAAAGTCTAAAAAAGTGAGAATAATTTTCATTCTTAAGGTCCTCCTATGTTATGCTACCAGGGTACATTTTAAAGTCGGGTCACAAACACTGTGACCTACCGGAGAATGGATTAAAATGAAGTAATGGCAGAATTTGGAGCAGAAGGATCAGAGTCTGGGATGGGATAAGAACTGGATGAGAGACAGGAATATTTGGAATGGCTTTAGATGTACTAAGATCTTACTTGGTTTGTTAAGGCAGCGAGGACAAAAGGACATACTGTGACTCACCACATGCATCACTGTCGACTCACTGAAGATCTTTCTGAATCCACAGTGAGCACCCTTCTATCTGATGCTTTGTTCAGAATCAGGATATTTTATTTTTGTTTTCTGATATTATTATCATATATCATATCAATTATATATTTATATATTATTGATATGATAAATTCAGAAAGGAATATGACTCTTCCTTTGACCCTGATCAGGGTTAGGCAGATAGAAAAGATGGAAATTGCAACATTTCCCTCACATGGACAATCAGAGAGGGAGCCTCAGATCAGTGGGAGGAGCTTCACAGTCCCTCCCATCATCCTTTTCACCCTCTTGTCTGCATTGCAGATGAAAGCCCATCAGCTCTCCAAGTATTTCAACAGAACACATTCTGCCCTCTGGTGGGCAAACATATGACATACTCACAAATGTCCCTTGGCTGCATAATTTTAATTTAGATAGAAAGCAGGAGGCTTTTTAAGTTAAAGTTATGCATTTCTTTACTCTGCTTGTTTTCGTTCTTATTTAGCAGTTTAAACCCTGCTTCCCTGCTTCTGTTCCCTCCAGCAGTGGCTCAAAACAGAAGAAGTGACCCAGGCTGGCAGCACAGCCATCAAGATAGAGAACCCAAACCAGTTTGTGCCTCTTTTCACCAACCCTAGGGAGGTGATTGAGACCAGAAACAAGGTGAGTCCACCAACCTCCTTCTTCTTCTGAGTACGGTTCTGTGTATTTACCAAGCCCATCGTTTGTTGTCAGATCCGACAGCAGAATCGTCAGGATATGAAGACTGCAGGACCACAGTCCCAAGTGCTTGCAAGTGTCATAACAGATGAGAGCCCTCCGGTAAACACAGCACCATATCTGCCCCAGAACTTATAAACTTATTCCAAAACATTTGATCTAAAGTGAAATCCTGCACATTTGTATTTTGTCAATCAGACCCCAGTGAGTCCACCCAAAGTTCCACCAGAACCAGAACCTCCCAACCCCTTCAACCAGCTGACTGACAAGGAGCTGGAGGAGTACCGCAAGGAGGTGGAGCGAAAACAGGACGGAGGGACTGATGGTAACAGCTATTTAAATGGCTTCAGCAACTGTAATTAATTGTTTGTTTTAATTGGCTCAGGTTGAGCTGTTTACAAAATGATAATAGCTTCTAGCTCAAGAAAAACTCCTTTACTGTTTAAAGCCTGTATGCATGTTTCTCTTAACTCACACATGAGAATGGAGGCCAGTTTTATTGTGCCAATTATTTATGGTGCAACAACTGCAAAAAAAAAAAAATGTTTATTATTTTTTTTATATTAGTTGTAATTATTACAAAATAAGTATAATCCTTGTGTTTTTTCGTATTTGTCTTGTTGTTGCATTGTTCTAATTTCCTAACTTATCTCATTCTTGTGTCCCAGAGCTGTGTAGGGATATATTTAAAGTATATTCCTATAAATGGATCAAATATGTCATTCATCAGTCTGAGATATAAACATGAAATTTAATTTTTTTTTTCTAAATCTACTAAAACATCACATAATTGTTTGGAGTGAGAATAGTGCCGTCACATCTGGGTTAGTCAAAGCCCACCCTGTTTCATCCATCCATCCATCCATCCATCCATCCATCCATCCATCCATCCATCCATCCATCCATCCATCCATCCATCCATCCATCCATCCATCCATCCATAGCGTCAGATGTAGGAGTTTGTTGATTCTAGCCCCGGTTCCAGGTTTCCGTTTCATGTCCTGGCGCAAGACATTTCCCCTGCATTGCTTACTGGCGGCTCCAGGGCGGCTTTCTCCTGTCAGTGAGCCCCAGGGCGACTTGGGAGTGTGAGTGCGAATGGGTGAATGACTGAATGTAAAGTTCTTTGGTCAAGTGTTCAGACTTGAAAAGTCTCTATATAACTGCAAGCCACTTTATTCATCCATTGATCCAGGTCACTATAATCTCAAATGCAGTCCTTCTGCTGCCCAGTGCATCTTACCAAATTCATCGAAAATAAGCAAATGCTTCAAATAACAACTGAAATCAGTGAAAGATATACATGAAAAGTGTATATTTCTTCTACTGACCCTTAAGGAAATATGATATCAAAAAAGCTCAAAAAAGAAGGTGAGCAAGCAAAAAAAATGGAACTTAAACGCAATTTAATTGTTCATTAACAGCAGAGGTGGTGACAACGCAGAGTGCGCCGCATTCACATAGAATTCCTATACAAACTGCACAAATGAAGCAGCAAGCGGTGAACTGCACATGGTGGGAGCGTTAATACTCCTCCCTCACCTCTTGATACTATATAGAGCTGAGGTGTTGTCAAACTGCAGCACCACATGGAGAGAGCAGAGCGGAGATCTCTGAAGTTCAAACAAGCTGAACTTTTTTATAAAATCACAACACGGCAGCCAATCCGGGACTGGAAAATTAAAAAAAGGTACATATAAAGAATTCTGTCAAGAGGTCTTTAGTTGGCTTTAAAAAAAAAATTTTTACTTTAGTCCTAGGAGTGCTTGTCCTCTCTCACCTCCAGCACAGAGCCCTGTCTGTCACTACCCACTGCCCAGCATCAGTGCTTTCAGCGGGGGTAGATTTACAAGGAAGTCCCGCCGAATCCGACACAATCAGAGCTGCGTCTGGATGAACCAAAGTGGTCTCTTTTTTTTAGAGAGATTTTGGGGCTTATCCAAAAGTTGATCTCCACATGCGATTCAAAAGTTGTTCATAGAAAACTATTTAGCATTAGTCTGTGATGTTAAATTTCACCTGTGCTTTTATTGAGGCACAAACAATCAATTTAGCCACTAAAAAAGGTAAACATGCCAACCTTTATGTTCAGTACCAGCATAAGAATGACATGTGATGTTATGTGTATCTTTATATCAGGAAATGAAAACAGCAGTTACGTCTGCTGGGAGGGCAACGTTTAGGTCGTGATTAAAAATAATTAATAATCCATTAAACTAGATCGATATAAACAAAAGTTTTACCTGCACAAATGAAGTAGCTCCTAAAAAGTAGGCTAGATCATTTTGATTCAATTCGTAGCTTAATGGGGGGGATAGTTGACTTTTTGCTGACCTAGAAAATAATCTTTAATATCTCTTAAACAAAAGCAGCACATGTGATCTTTTTTATTTATTTATTTTTATTTTTACAAATGACCATTTTAAAATTCACAAACTTGCACTGAAGAAGCAATCATCATTCAGTCTATTTGCTGTTTTTTTCACGTCAATGGGTTGTCAGCTTCACACAGATGAAGCTCCTCCTATTTGATGATGCTTCCAGGACGTAAACACAGTGCATCTAAAATGCAGAGTGGTGAACTACCTGCGGGGCTCGCAGAAATCACCGCCTTCACGGCATGCTGTGTGAATGCACTATTAGAGCTTCTAAATTAATAACAGTACATAAATAAAATAGAGTTAAATAAAGAGTGTTCCAATTCTACCACTAACTCTTAAACATGGTTGTTTTCTATCCACCATTAAAACTGTGCTGTAAAGGGATCTGCTGTCTTAATGAATCTAGTGTCTTGATGTTTAAACATCCATTTGTGTTTTAAATCCACTCAGGTCTGATGGAACTCTGACTTTCATAAACATTTTGATCATCCATCTTCGTTTGGGGGCTCATACACACTTCTGGAAGTTTGAAATTAGGTCTGAATAAGTGAAAAGATGTTTCTTCATATATGCTCCAATATAAACTATAAAGGTCAGCAACAGCTGAAGAGGGACTGTGTGAAAAACCATAGGGATTTGATGTTGCTTCAGTTAGCAGGTTAGAACTCTGTTAATGATAAATGTATTGGATAGTGCTTAGCTATATTTGCAATAGCTTTATTCACAATCATTTAACTTAGTTAAACCTTTATAACCTTTTCTCCTAATATTGAAAAATTTTGCTTAGTTGAGCCCAAGATTTAGTCCTTAATTTTCCTTTCTTAAAAAAGCTAAATATTTCTTAGAAATAGACTCAATCCTTATCAGGAAGAGAATTAGCCTGAGGTTTGTGTTTTATGAATTTTTATTAAATTTCCCATTAATATATTACTTGTAGTCAAGACTTTGGAGCAGTTAGAGCATAGATGGACATAATCATGGTACTGTTACTGTAAGGTAAAAAAAATAGATGTAAAAAATGGACCCAAAAATGAATGTAGAAATCTCAAAATATATAATTGTTAAGATTTTCCTTTCCTTTTGGTTATTTTCGGTGCTTTTTTAAACAAACAAGTATAAACCTGTTATTGTGCTTTAACTTGTGTGTAATTTGTTCTCACTCCTGTTTGCTTCACAAATCTAACCCTGTGCACAGCTGAGTCTTCACTGTCTGTCTGTTTGTCTGTCTGTGTGTGTGACAGCAGGGGAGGAGGTGGAGAATGACAGGACATCTCCCCCTGCTACCTCCCCTACAAAAGGCCCAGCAGCCAGCCACCCCCCTGACTCAGGTGAGGCTTGGCAGAGCACTCTGTGTGTCTTGCTTGGCTTCCGCTCTGCTTTCCTGACCCACATCTTGCTTCAAGTTTTCTCTCATTGACTGGTATATCTGAGCTCAACTTCTGGCCTCTCATCGCTGTCCTCCTTCTGCAGAGCAGATACTGACTAACATTTCTACACAGAATGGGAAACAAACAACAAAAGTCGAGGAAATCGTAGTACATGTAGTTTTTGTATGCATCCTTTCCAGACAAATAAATTACTAAATTAGGAAGGATGGAATCATGTTCAATACAAGAGAATACATTAAACGTAAATAGATTTTAGTACTGCAGCTGATAAGAACAAGACATCAGTTGAAAAGAAAGCAACATTTTAAGGTCTTTAAACTGGACAAAGGATTCTCAGAACACTAATTCAGGATCTCCAGGCTTTTCCAGTCTTAAACCTCTGCTCTAGTTTAATAAATAAGACTGCATGTTCTACCTTTTCGGTAGCTTTAACAAAAGGTAGCTCTGTTTTAGCTGGAAACTATGTTACAAGCTCCAAAGCCTATCTTGGTTTGAAGTGAATGAACGACGGGCATGTGTTTCCTCCAGCAAAGGTCTGATCTTCATGTGGTGGTGGTGCTGGGATGCATGAGCATTAAGTGGATGTGTTGTGGATCATCTTCCATTTAAATGGACTTTTAACTGGCTGCTTTAAAAACACTATGCCCATTGAAACTATCGCAGAGATATTCTTTGCTGCGGTCTCACTGAATCTAAGTGTGGTTTACTCTGTAAAGCCAATCACATTTAGGAATGGGAAACACTTGTTTTATAAAATATACTGTAATTTATCATTGTAGCCAAACAGTTAACGGTCTAAAAAAGAAAGTTGATCTTGATTAATTTCTCGATTCACCCATGTTTATTTTAAATAGGCATTGCTATGAAGAAAGACAACAGAATTCCAACAGTTTGCAGTCAGTTTAAGCCTTGACATTTTTTTTTACTTTGAATTCAATCAGGAAAATCTGAATTTTCTAACTAGCCTATAGCCGTTCAAAGGTAAAAGAAATCACGTCGACGGCACGTAGGTCAGCTTTTATATGCATGCCAATCAGAATGTCAGAAAGCAAAAATTGCCCCTCTTAGTCGGATTATAAATTCATCCTGAACTTGTCGAATCCAATCAAAGTATTGTGACATTATTATTCTGAAATGTTGTTTATATCAGATGACCTATATCTATGTAAATGTACTGATTTCTCTTCTTCCCCAGCTCTCTTGGAAGGTTAAAGAAGCATTTTATACAACTACAGTATCCCACATCATCCGATTCATTGCATCATACATGTTTGCAGATGAGGAGACATCCATGGCTCCAGCCTTATCAAAATATTACACTTTGTTCTTAGATCAAGGAGACCACTCTGATTCCATTCCCAAATCTTAGCCACATACATAATAAAGATGACTTTTTAATCCTAACTGTCCTCATTAGATAAAATTACATGGGAAAACATTAGTTCTGACACACAACAGGCAGATATTAGTAGGAATTTATCAGACTTACACATCAGCATTAAGATAATCCTAACAATGTAAAACAATGAGCCTAAATCCATTCACCCATTTCAGATATAGATCCAATCCCAATACACACCCTAGGCCTACATTTTAGCCCTCCCTCTAAACTTTGCACATTCCCGAGAATGTAGTGGCAGCCAGCTGTAGTCCCCTCTGGAGCTAAGGAACCCCAGTGGGAGATCAGAGGAGCCGGCCTTGAATCAGCGCACCAATGCAGGAGTGGAAGGCTGCAGCTTACAGGTGCTATCTCAGGAAGAGAGTGGAGAAACACAGTAGTAGCCTGCCTGGGGAGCAGCGCCACCTGGGAGAGGCTGCAGCTGACTGGGGCTAGCTATAGAGGTTAACTGCAAAGGATTGAAGGAGCACAGCAGAAGATCAGGAGAAGTAGAAGAATTACTGCGGAGCATCAGCATAGCCTGCCAGGTAGTCAGAGGGGTGAAGAGAGGGAAGGGTGTCCGTGCTGGAGGTAGGAGACCAAACAGTCGTCTAGAGTTACATTAAAGTGTTTTTTTTTTAAAGGCACCTAAAATGTCTTCAGAGCCTTCATCTTTTGTCAACAATATTTTCTCTATCTTCTACTTGATAAAAAAAAGTGCATGGCACTGTGTAATCTTGTCCTTTGGTTTTGTAATTTACCTATTTATTACAGTAGAACCACTTTTAAAGTCAAATCATACCTGATAAAGGAAAATGATAACTAACCAAACTCAAATTAATCCCCCTTTTATCATTTTAGTCTTATCTCGTCTCTTATGGTGGCATGTATCATGTATGTGTATACGTTAATACTCAGTCGGTTATGTACCCTAGTGTCAACCATGAAGCAAGGGGTGTCCCAATTCCTGAGGAAGATAATGGAACTGTTGTGGCTTCAATTCAAGTGTGGGTGGTTAGTGGGTGAGGGCAAGTGGTTGTACTGGGACTGGGCCAAAACAAAAAACCCAACCAAATAATTTTGAGTGTATGTGTACATTTAAGTTCATGGAATACATCATTTTTCATCAAATAATTTTATTGTATTTAAGATCATAAAAAAATAAAAGGTGAAACAAAAAACTTAAAAAAAAAAGAGGTCAAGTTTCCTCTGAGCACACATCTACTCTCCATCCCAGATCATTGGCTCTCTCAATTAGAAGAACATTAGAAGAAAGAGTAAAAAGCATTTTTTTTAAATCCAAATCTTGTTTTGAAAACAAATTCAGCAAAGTTGTTTGTTGTATAATCTCTTGAAAAGGACATTTCAAACATAATTAAAAGCATATAATGAATATGTCATTCTTCTCCATAATGACTGCATGTAAACTGCTGACTGTACGTCAGAAAGCATTTGGAAACACACATCCTTTAGGCGAGCATGTTCATATTTCAGACATTTCCAGCATGAACCCCTGCAGCAGGTATGAGCTTAATCCTCCGTTAAACACCTGCTTACTGTCTGATTCTTTTCTTGCTTCCTTTTCAACCATTTCTGCAGTAATGGAAGTACAGAGCGACTCTCCAGACATTCAGAACGGAGGAGATGACGAGAAGAGGGTGACAAAAGAACTGGAGGAAGGGATGAAGGCGCTTTCAACCAACGACACCTCCTCCACTCCTGCTCCTCCAACAATCAAACCATTGGGCGGCACCCCTGAGGGCTCGCCCTGCAAGTCTCCATCCAAGAAGAAAAAGAAGTTCAAGCCACCATCATTCCTTAAAAAGAGCAAAAAGCAGAAAGAGAAAGTAGAGACCTGAGATGGTCGCTCAAACTAGTCAGACCTCAGTGAAGTGCTACGGGGATCATATGTGACAGAGCAGGAGATGAAACCACATCACAACCATTCAGAGCCATTTCAGTCTCAAACCCAGACACGGTATGTTAGAGTACCACCGCTAGCCACTGAATTTGATGTTTGTGGTGATTTATCGAGTAAAAGTTAGAGATGCTCCTGTAATTATTTGCCCTAATGATTTGATCCAAGTCACCCACTCAGTCTGTGATCACTCACACGATTTCTGTACTCATCATGTCTGCAGAATAAGTTTGGTAATTCACTTCACTGTACAGGAGTTCAACCATATTTCTTCTTCAAAGCAGGCCTTCAGTTTGGGTCCTGTATAAGTGGCACTTATGTTTTTCTTACTATACACGTTGGAAGGTAAAGTCATGTATAGCACTTAACATAGGTAGATCGGTGTTCTTGCACGTCTTATTCTTTCATATACATCTCACTTCTGGTTTGATTTATGGGGTAGAAGTTACAGGTATAGTCTGTGAGGACATTTGTAATACCAAAAAATCTCCAACAAGCTGCTAATTGTACTCTGAGCAAATGTAGCAGCAAAAAAAAAAAAAAAAAAATTGGCGAGCTTCAAGCTAAACCTGCAACCGACTCTTTTTTTGTCAACCACCATGGAAAACGCCTCATAAAAACGATTGTTTGTCGATGCAATCCGAATATTCTTAGTGTAATTACAATTATTTTCCTCTTTAGTTTTCAGTCATACCACACACACACACATTACCTTTCTACGATAAATCATTTAGAAACAGCTGTTTCTCAAACTGCTGATCTTGATGCTGGCTCATTGGTTTGAATTGATTTTATATCAGAGTGTACATGTAAGTGTTGCAAGGTTGCAATGTATCAGTCATTAAAGGTCCAATTATGTTTCAAGTCCACACAGCAGTGTCTCTGTCTTTATACCTAATTATCTTGTATTTGAAATGCAGCGTGCTCCACTGTGCCTTATTTATAGCTCCTGGACAGCTTCACGAAAAGACAATTGTTTTCAACAAACTTCAGGAACATGGAGCTCATAGTTCTAATTATTCTATTTTCCAAAATATCTTGATATAAATCAACCTTGAGCTAACTGTAACATATTTTGAAGTCAACAATGCTGCTTTTGCAGTATTTACACCAGTTTACTTTTACAAATTATTTTACTATACTACCACAAACCTTACTATGCTATAAGTAAGAAAGTAAAGTGATGGCTGGCCCTTTTTAATAGCATGTCTACCTATTTTCAAATAAGCATTGGTTTGGGTTATTTTAAATTACACTACAATAAAGTTTTTAGCAGGAATAGTCACATACGAATCGTTAAGGTCCACAATTATTTTTAAAGATTTCAAAGGCCTGTTTATAAGAATGTAAGTTACGGGTTCACTCTGTCAAGTCCCACACATGACATGCTGTTGTATTCAAAATAAATCAACCATATCAGGAATCAGCAAAGAACATAATAGTTTAACAAAAATCAGCCCACCTCTGCAAAAAAATCTCATTTGTTTAAAATTTGTACATTCCATGCAACAATAAATGAGCACTCAGCATGGTTGCCTTTTGTGTTTAGAAGAGGAAATTTGCACATTTATTTTTATCTCTGAATTTAAAGAAAAATTCCCTTTAAATTGTCATAAAAGTTGTAACTCCCCTACATGAACCATAGCAGCCGACAAAGCATTTGCGAAAATTTAAAACTTGCAATCTGTAAGGTAAGTATTTCATCTTGATTTTGGTGGGAAAAAAAACAGATTTTTAATGTTATAGAAAACTCTACGAAACATTACAATAATAAGGATAAAAAAAAAAAAAACAACACACTGATCATGGGGATAACCCAGTGCTTGCAGATTCCTCTTAATCAGCTTCCCGTTCAGGTGGCCACATAGCAGCAGAAATGGATTCCATGTGTAACCCTCATTAAAATGTGGCAAAAAGTTAAACAAGTTTGAAAGTTATAGTGATTGATTTAATGTAAAAAATTTTCATCAGAGTTCATTAAAACACTATTATAACAATCAGTTTTTGCTGAAGATTAAAAGTATGTTGACAGAAAATATATGTGGCTGTCCCTTAAAGGAATAGTACACCCAAAACATGATTAGCCTTCATTTTCTACTCACCCCCATGCTGAACAACACTCTGGAGTACTTTTTTGATATCTCAAATGCATCTGGAGATCTGGGAGGCTTCTTGCTGTCTGCTGACATTCAAATAATGGAGGTCTATGGCGCCCGAGACAGAAAGGTCCATAAAAGTCCACAAAAACGTGTCAATATTCCTCCATAATGCTCGTCCAATGTAATCCAAGTGCCCTGAGTGGGTAGCGTCCAGAATTTACTCGAAACTAAGTCATTTAGAACGTTTTAGAGCCTAAACAGTAGTGTATAGGATTTCCTAATAGCGCCCCCATGCGCGCTCACGATTCTACGGAAACCGCGGCAGACCAAACCGGAAGAAAGTGCGCATTCAGCGTCTGCTCTGCCGATAATGCAAGCGTAGAAGAAGAAGTTCCGCTTTTCACCTGTTTATTTTCTGCCCTGAGCCAGGTGAGCACGAGGTCAGTCTCTCTCAGAGTTTGAAAAAGTTGTTGATTAGTGATTTTAGTCGTGAAATTAAGAAGATGGTTCGAGTGCGTTCCTATCCTGGATGCTTCAATCAGATGAAGCGGCAGTGTGGAATAACCCATTCCGTAACTTTCCACAAATTACCTCTTCGGGACCCTGAAAGGCTAAAACTGTGGCTAATAGCTCTACGAAAAGATCTAAGGACAGCTAACGTGGATTCTCTCCGTGTCTGTAGTGAACACTTTTCAGCGGATGATTTCCGAACCTGTAAAGGAAGAGCTTTATTAAAGAGTACAGCTGTGTCGATGGTGTCACAACTAAGGACAGAGGTATGTACTTTATAAACCATTTATGTAACTTACACGTTTGTATATGATCTGTATTTTTACCGGTACTTTTTTAAAAAACGTTAAAATGTTAAAACACGCTAATATTACTTGAGTAAAAATGTTAACTTCCACATCAATTTGGACAATCATGGAATTTTTTACAAGTCATGTTATTTTAGTTGCTTTGTTATCATACGGATTTTTTTTACACTGTATGTATGTACAACCCACCTATTGACAAACACCCGCTCCACAGCTCAGTGTGACATTATATTAATTTTGTGATCAATCAATGTGATCATTGATGGCCTGCAAGTTGTTAGTGTTTAGGAGTTAATAAAAAATAAAAATCTGGATGATAATAACTCAACTTTTAGCACCCAGAGAAATACTAATGTGATCCATGATTTAAAATACATAAATAAATAAATAAATAAATAATATTTATCTTTTTGTCTTTACAGCCCAGGCTTCTCCGCAAAATACAACACCTACAGCTTCATGGAGGACACAACAAATGAAATAATCCTTTTTCAGTTAGTGCAGGTAAGGGAAATTATTATTTCATATTTCATATTACAACATAATATGAGAACAATTGTCAATTGTGTGTTTACAAATTGACTGCACAAAGATACATATGCATATATTTTGTAGTTTTATTTGGATTTTGGTCATTCTAATTGGCAAATAATAATTGTGAAGCGGAAGACTGTGATCTATGTATATGTTTTTTTTTTAGAGGGTGGGATTGAATTTGGTTTTGTACTTAATCCCACTCGTTTTCGTTCTTCAATTTGATAAATGTAGCCTACATTATTTTTTAAATTTCTATATTTATCTATTTTCAGTTTTCTTTTTTTATTGTATCTTTTTTTTTTATATTATTATTATCTATTGTATTTATTATCAATTTTGGTGCATTTATTATATTGTTTTTCTTCCTTTTTTTTGGGGTAATGTTTCTCATTTTCATCATGTGCGGAATGAAATTAAAGAAGTAAATAAATGTATGTGTAATATGTGGAACATATTACAAAATTAATGTTGCTATCGGATTATGACAAGCACTGTCCCATCAAAGATGTATGAAAATGATTTTAAACATTAAATTTTTGTTTTGTGGTACAGGTGACAGAGGCATCCAGCTCTGCTGCCATGGAGCCAGTGGGGTTCAGGAGAGGACTTGATTATCTCCTTGAGTAAGGTCTTGAAGTGGAGTCGGTAACCACTGACCGATCACCATCTATACGAAAAATTATGCGCGAAGAGTATCCGGAAATCCACCATGAGTTTGACATCTGGCATGTTGTCAAGGGTAAGCTGACAAATTGTAATTTGTAAATGTACAATGGTAAAGGAATTACTATAATGAGGAAAATGTTTTTACAATATACTTTGGATAGCCCTTGTACAGCCACATAAACTTTTACATAATTTACCCCTCCCTTGCCAAAGCGCTGGCACCTGCCTAGGTTATACACAGCCCCATTGTGATCCCACACTCCTCTATTACCTGCTCCCACCTTGTACTTCATACCCACCAAGACTATGTTGACGTCACCCATGTGCAGAAGTGCAGTCTGTTGGGACTGTACATCTCCAATCACCTACACTCTCTGAGCCCTGAGCTCCCCATTGTCGTTAAAATTAAATTAAATGAAAAATACTTTATTTATCCCAGAAGGTAAATTAAATATTTTAAAAAGCTCACACTCCTTTCTTTTTTTCGAAACAACAAAGCAATATTGTCTCTAACACCTGGTTCCCTTGATCCTTCCCAAACTCTTTGATCCACCTGTATGAACAACATGTCCTGTCTAACGTTTAGTGCCACCTCAGTGACGTTGCCACCATACACCTGGTGGATACATTTCTTGTACTCCCCAACCAGACTATTTTATAAAGGAATAAGTTTCTTGGATGAGAGACAAAACATCTTCTACTCACACGTTTACTCCAGTTGCCATATTTTATGCTTGCTTGAGACTCATTGACGATTGTTCTGTTTTTGGTAGGGCTAATGAAAAAATTGCTGTCATCATCCAACAAAAAGGACAACCTGCAACCATGGATAAAATCCATCTGCAATCACTTGTGGTACGCCTGTTCCACTTGTGGAGGTGACCCTGATGTGAGTAACATCACATTCTTCACATTTAGGCAACATAAAGTTATGATAATAATAACTGATCATGCATCATGTCATGCTTCTTTTTGTTTTCTTTTTCTTTTGTTTTCTTTTGTTTTTACTATGGACCTCTTTTGTGTCTGAAATAAAGATTGATTGATTGATATTATGTTTTCTCAGGGAAGCTTGAAGTATTCCATGCATCTATGCTGAAATACACAGAGAAGAGACTGCACTTCCACTACTCAACAATGAAAGCTCGCACCCAGCTTGCCGTTATGGACCACAATGAAAATGTTCAGCGTGAACAGGCCTACACCAACACAGGTAACAAGAAAGTATCTTCAAAACAAAAAAACCTAACCTTGTGCGCTGTGCTCAGTGTCATATACTCATTTATGTCCTCAAAATGAGCTGTATTGAAAAAACAGCAAACATTACATTTAACCTTCAATGGGAACCGCACCTGTTTAGTGAGCTGCTGCACTAAGATCTGCATAACAAATATGGTACTTTATGGTCCTAATTCTCACCACCACAAAATTACAAGTACCAGATTCCTAATTATTTGGATACAATTTCTTGGTTCCTTTTTTGAAACCTAAAACCGAAACTTTTTGAATGCTTTATAATAGCTATGTTATTTCATTAATGTTTCCTCTGTCTTACATTTTCTTCTTTGTTTTTTAGGACAAGCACGGTTCAATGTGGTTTACCCAAAACAAACAAAAGAATGGGTCGCCAAAAAGATCTATGTTCCAACAACACAAACATTCCGGCAAAATCTGGTGGTGCAAGTTGTGCGGAGACGCCTGGACCCCAACGTCAAGATCAAAGACCCCCAGTCATATGTTTCTATCCCTCCCATACCAGAAAACATTGCTCAGAAACCAAAACCTGCCAAAGAGGAAGCCATACAAAAACATACTTCCCGATACAGCAGTTAGTCTGAGTGGTGCAGTATTTTTACTCTTGCCTTTTTATATTTGTACTTATGCAAATAAAAAGTCTAGCTGGTGGCATGTAATTTTAACCTTTTTTTTTTTTCAAAATTCTGGGATACAGAGTCTGATAAGGGGTTTACTTAATATAGTTATGACATGACATTTTTAAATAAAATGGCATGTGTCTGTGGTTGGTTTGTCTGCATTTCACACTTAGGTCTAGAATAAATATTTAATCAAAGGAACAGAGTTACATCTTTCTTACCATCCAAAGTCATTTTGTTTATTTCCAAAACAACACAATAGTACAGGAAAGGTTACAGTTATCGGCTACATAAATTCTGAAATGTTATCTATAATGAGGCAGTATAGGTTTGTGATTTGGGAAAAAATATGAAATATAATGAAGTAGTACAAATTAATATGGAAGAGTCTCTTAGGATTTGTTTATAGTCTTTACAACTGTTCAAAAGCTGCCTCTGCCTCCTTGAAACCAGTATACACTCCATCTGGTGAAGGGTAGCTGGGATGGATGCTTGTAACAATACAGGCTGGTAAAACTCTTCTGCTGTCCTTGCCAAGTCTCTCGCCTTTCAGAATCCACTCGAGTACCACACGGTAGGCCACCAACCTGTACTGACTGGGGGAGGGGGGGGGGGGGGGGGGGGGGGTAAAATGGAGCCATTATTTTAGCAATACAAGTGAAAAAGAAAGCATCTCATCCAGGACACAAGCTGGGTAAGATGCTGAGTAAACAGACTTTAGTACTAGCATCACATACAAAAAACTGCACAGTGAGTACCATTAACATTATGTATCTATATATATATGATATATATATATATATATATATATATATATATATATATATATATATATATATATACACTATATTGCCAAAAGTATTTGCTCACCTGCCTTGACTCACATATGAGCTTAAGTGACATCCCGTTCCTAATCCATAGGGTTCAATATGACGTCGGTCCACCCTTTGCAGCTAGAACAGCTTCAACTCTTCTGGGAAGGCTGTCCACAAGGTTTAGGAGTGTGTTTATGGGAATTTTTGACCATTCTTCCAGAAGCGCATTTGTGAGGTCGCACACTGATGTTGGACGAGAAGGCCTGGCTCTCAGTCTCCGCTCTAATTCATCCCAAAGGTGTTCTATCGGGTTGAGGTCAGGACTCTGTGCAGGCCAGTCAAGTTCATCCACACCAGACTCTGTCATCCATGTCTTTATGGACCTTGCTTTGTGCACTGGTGCACAGTCATGTTGGAAGAGGAAGGGGCCAGCTCCAAACTGTTCCCACAAAGTTGGGAGCATGGAATTGTCCAAAATGTCTTGGTATGCTGAAGCATTCAGAGTTCCTTTCACTGGAACAAAGGGGCCAAGCCCAGCTCCTGAAAAACAACCCCACACCATAATCCCCCCTCCACCAAACTTTACACTTGGCACAATGCAGTCAGACAAGTACCGTTCTCCTGGCAACCGCCAAACCCAGACCCGTCCATCAGATTGCCAGATGGAGAAGCGCGATTCGTCACTCCAGAGAACGCGTCTCCACTGCTCTAGAGTCCAGTGGCGGCGTGCTTTACACCACCGCATCCGACGCTTTGCGTTGCACTTGGTGATGTATGGCTTGGATGCAGCTGCTCGACCATGGAAACCCATTCCATGAAGCTCTCTGCGCACTGTTCTTGAGCTAATCTGAAGGCCACATGAAGTTTGGAGGTCTGTAGTGATTGACTCTGCAGAAAGTTGGCGACCTCTTCGCACTATGCGCGTCAGCATCCGCTGACCCCGCTCCGTCAGTTTACGTGGCCTACCACTCCGTGGCTGAGTTGCTGTCGTTCCCAAACACTTCCATTTTCTTATAATACAGCTGACAGTTGACTGTGGAATATTTAGGAGCGAGGAAATTTCACGACTGGATTTGTTGCACAGGTGGCATCCTATCACAGTTCCACGCTGGAATTCACTGAGCTCCTGAGAGCGACCCATTCTTTCACAAATGTTTGTAAAAACAGTCTGCATGCCTAGGTGCTTGAATTTATACACCTGTGGCCATGGAAGTGATTGGAACACCTGATTCCAATAATTTGGATGGGTGAGCAAATACTTTTGGCAATATAGTGTATATATATCTATATATATATGATATATATATATATATGATATATATATATATCATATATATATATATGATATATATAATAATATTATTAGCAAGGCATAGGCCTGTTGCACAAAACTTACTCTGCAGAGAGCGTGTTGTTTGGTCCTGCGGGTCTTGGCCTCTTTTTCCAATTGATTTTGGGCACATGGAAAAACATCTCCAGAACGCCACGGGTCAGTAATGGTGGATAATCCGTGTTTTGGGTGACACAAAGTCTTTGGCTAGTGCTCTCGGTCTCATCAGTGGAGATATTTAGATCCTCCAGTGGTGGCATCAACAAGTCCCAGTCCACACAGCAAATGCTCTCCTCTTCTGTTGGCATTGCTTGACAATTTCCACATTTACACCACGTTTCTGACGCTCTACGTCTGTAGCACAACGGTGTTTGCGGCTCAGCTTGAGCTGCGGCTGCCTCATCCATGTCTCTAAGTTCGTCATCTGTGTATTCTGGTTCATAGAGAAAAGGCTCGGCAAAGAACTCCTGCTTTTCCTCAACACTGAAGTCCTCAGACATTTTTCTTTCGTTGTTTCTTTCTTTGCACAGGTAAACAGCACATTTCTTCTTCTACGCTTGCATTATCGGCAGAGCAGACGCTGAATGCGCTCTTTCTTCCGGTTTGGTCTGCCGGCTTCCGTAGAATCGTGAGCGCGCATGGGGGCGCTATTAGGAAATCCTATACACTACTGTTTAGGCTCTAAAACGTTCTAAATGACTTCGTTTCGAGTAAATTCTGGATGCTACCCACTCAGGACACTTGGATTACATTGGACGAGCAGTATGGAGGAATATTGACACGTTTTTGTGGACTTTTTTGGACCTTTCTGTCTCGGGCGCCATAGACCTCCATTATTTGAATGTCAGCAGACAGCAAGAAGCCTCTCAGATCTCCAGATGCATTTGAGATATCAAAAAAGTACTCCAGAGTGTTGTTCAGCATGGGGGTGAGTAGAAAATGAAGGCTAATTAT